ACTAGACTCCATCCCATTCACCACATATTTGCTTTGAAACTCTACTGTTTATATCCTACTCACTTTCTTTTCTGCACTTCTTAATTGTCCATTCATGTGTCATGTACTTTTTCTTCAGCCAACGAGCCAGTGACAGGTGTTATTTAATGATGTTAAGTGATGATTGGCTTTGTTACATGTCAAAGGGTTGTGTTTGCATTTGAAGTGGAGACAGAAACTCAGCAGGGTCACAAAATAACAGATGAAAGACTGCAAAGTATCAACATCATTATTTACAACAATCTTAGCATTGTTGTATTTGCTCTTACTATTTTCCATTCGCTAGAACAATAACCATTTATTTATTCTATATAGAACAGAAGAACATCGACAAACATGAGTGTAAGAACAAATACTTCAATTCTGCATGTTTTGGTTGTTTGGTCCTAAAGTAGAGTTTTTCTTTTTTTTTTGTATTTTTTTTCACTGTTTCTGGCTTTAATATGCCTAGCCTTTTTGCTCTTGTGCTTTCTTTTCCTTTTCACATGTGAGCTCCTTTGTTCTCCTGGTTCTTATTTGATATTTCTAGATTTCTTTACAATATCCTCCACTTAGTGAAATTAATAGAGTTTTGTTGTCAGAGCCCTCTTATGCTCATGATTTTGCATGTATTATTTGCTATCTTCTTTCAGATAGTATATTTCACAGATAATTTCCAAACTTGCTTCTCAGGCCTTCACCTTTCTCACTATTTTTCACCTAAGTATTTCCAGTATTTCCATATCTCTTCAAAACTAAAGTAACAGCCCTCACTCTCTGCTTACAACCTCTTGCATTGTATCCACACGTGCAGGAAATGCTTGGGCCCAAGAAAGGCAGAGTCAGTTAAGCTGAAGTAACACATTAGTGCCTTTGATTTCCCTTTTACAGGTAAGAGGTCATTTGGTCTTTTCTGGTGGTTTTAACACACTAGTTTTGTGTTTCAATCCAGAATATCATAGAAGTCCATTCTTCTCACCTTTCTCCTTACCCTCATCTCTTCTAGGAAAGGTGACATTGGATACATCTTGTTAGAGTACAACTGTAAGATAGCTTCTCCCCTACCCCAATAATTAATGAGGAGAAACAGAGGAAGTTAAACAGCAACTCATCTGACCTCTTTGAGATATCTGCTTTCCTGCTGCTCTAGAAATGACTATTTTTCTCTACTGACTGTAAAAGGAGGTGACAGAAAGCACAGATGTGGCTGTCCACACCTGATTGGTTTAACTTGATACTTGCTGTCTTACTGTCTCACATACTATCCTTATTCAATGTCCTGTAGTTCTGTTTTTCTCAGAAGGGTATTTCCTTAGTTGTTTTTCCCCCCCTGCTTGTTTAACTTCTTTGGAGTCTGCCACTACTTCCCTTCACCTAAAATGTGTCTACAGTTGGGTTCCCTACCAAAAACTCCATCTGTTCCTAGTTTCAAATACCTTCTTTAATGATTTTTCAAAAATGTATTTTGCCTTATTCTACCAACACATCTTGTGTACTTTTGCCTAATCTGAGCATCAGCTGCACTGTTCAGCACTTAATCTTTGCTTGTACTGACAATTGTTCCTAGTTATTTAATAGGTGCAAGTTTTTGCATACCAGAGTTGTAAAGTGTCATCAGAATTCACAGTAATATACTGCATAATATTATTCAAAGAAAGACATTATAGAAAACGTGCTGAGGAGTTCTCATCTCTCTTTTCTCAATACACATTGAAAAATTTTTCTTCTTTATTTTCTTCTTGCTTTTATCTCTTAGTTCTTTTTTCTACTGCCTGTTACTTCATCACTGGTCTTGAATCAATCATAATTGAACTGAAGGACGATAGCAGATGAGGCATAATAGCATGTCTCTTGGAGTTACAATGTCAAATGCAGTAAGACTTGATTTTACAGCATGATCATTATGAGGGAGGATAGTCTAATGAAGAGAGTACTGAGCTATGACTCCAGCAGGTCTGGATTTAGCTCCCTACTCTATAGAGAACAAATGGTTGAAATGTAAGGCTGAGTAATTCTTAACTCTTCAATATACTACTCTTCTCCAGTTTTGCAGTTCTCATCCTCAAATCCCCGAGACTGTCACATGCTATGGCTGCTTGCATATGAGTAAATAAAACTGTGCCAGGGATTTCTGTCAGGCCCTGGGACTGTCTCACCTGCGCTAGCAGTCCATTAGAGCAACCCTGGCACGGTGGGATCCTCTGCCAACTAGCACTGTCCAAAACAATGCCCAGTTCCCATCTGCAACTTGAATCACAAAATCACCAAATTATTTGAATTGGAATCCTCTGCAAAGATCAGGGATGTCTTCAACCAGATCAGGCTGCTCAGAGCCCCATACAACCTGACTTTGAATGTTTCCAGGGATGGGGCATTTACCACCTCCTTGGGCAACCTGTTCCAGTGTTTCACCACCCTCACTGCAAAAAATTTCTTCCTTATATCTAGTCTGAATCTACCCTTTTTAATTTTAAAACCATTATCCCATGTCCTATTGCAATAGTCCCTGCAAAGAAGTCTGTCCTCATTTTTCTTATAAGTCCCCTTTAAGTATTGAAAGGCCACAATAAGGTCTTCCTGAAGCCTTCTTTTCTCCAGGCTGAAAAACCCCAACTCTGTCAGCCTTTCCTCATAGGAGAGGAGTTCCATCCCTCTGATCATGTTCATGGCCCTCCTCTGGACCCACTGCAACAGATCCATGTCCTTCTTATGCTGGGGGCTCCCGAGCTGGATGAAGACCAGGTGGGGTCTAACCAGAGCAGAGGGGCAGAATCACTTCCCTGGACCTGCTGGCCACACTTCTTTTTCTGCAGCCCAGGATACAGTTGGCTTTCTGGGCTGTGAGTGCACATTGCTGGGTCATGTCCAGCTTTTCATCCACCAGTACCCCCAAGTCCTTCTCAGCAGGGCTGCTCTCAATCTCTTAATCCTCCAGCCAGGGGTTTATAACAGGGGTTGCCCCAACCCAGGTGCAGGACCTTGCCCTTGGCCTTGTTGAACCTAATGAGGTTCACATGGGCCTACTTCTCAAACTTGTCCAGGTCCCTCTGGATGGCATCCCATCCCTCAGGTGTGTCAACCACACCACTCAGCTTGGTGTCATCTGCAAATTTGCTGAGTGTGCACTTCATCCCCCTGTCTCTATTGTTTATGAAGATCTTAAGCACTACCGATCCCACTATGGACCTTTGAGGAACACCATTTCTCACTGATCTCCATCCAGACATTGAGCTGTTGACCACTACTCCCTGGATGTAACCATCCAACCAATTCTTCATCCACTGAATATTCCACCCATCAAATCCATGTCTCTCCAATTTAGAGAGAAGGATGTTATAGGGGACTGTGTCAAAGGCCTTACAGAAGTCCAGATAGATGACATCCATAGGTCTCCCCTTGTCCACTGATATAGTCACTCCATCATAGAAGGCCACCAGGTTGATCAGGCAAGACTTGTCCTTGGTGAAGCCATGATAGCTGTGTTAAATCACTTCCCTGTCCTCCATGTGCCTTAGCACAGCTTCTAGGAGGATCTATTCCATGATCTTCCCAGGCATAGAGGTGAGGCTGACAGTTTGGTAGTTCCCAGGGTCCTCTTTTCTACCCTTTTTAAAAATGGGTGCAATGTTTTCCTTTTTCCAGTCTCTGGGGAGTTCACCTGACTGCCATGACTTTTCAGATATCATGGAGAGTGGCTTGGCAACTACATCAGCCAGTTCCCTCGGGACTCTGGATGCATCTTATCGAGCCCCATAGAGTTATGTATGTTCAGATTCCTCAGGTGGTCACAAACCACTTTGACAGCAGTCACCTGCTTTGGAAGGTGAGTGTGGTGTGGAAATGTTGTGATGCCTGACTATATTATTTCATCTGCCCCAGTGACAAGGAAGAGTCCCTTTCCTTACTACTGAGGCCATGCTCAGCAGCTCTGAAGGATTTATCTGTATGGCCTAGAGTAGGTAAATACAGACCGTACCATAGTCCCTCCTTGAAATCTGCTTCATATTATATTATCCCACCATTTTAGAGTGCTTCATAACATATATTCTGTCCTCTGATACATTCTGTAAAACAGCTTAATGAGACCAAATAAATAATAATGAGTCTGCCATGGTAGTTAAGCCTCAGTTCAAAGTAGCATCTTTCATCTTCAAATTTTTTGGTAGGTCTGGAACAGTAAAGAGTCACAGTTCCAGGGATCAGATTCTTTCATAATGAGACACGCAAGCAGTTTGCCATGGTTCATTAATAAACAGCTTTTTCATCATTGGTCCAGTGTTAGTGATTAAGCGATATACTTATTCTTTGGTTAAATGTTTTCTTCCAACTTGCCGACGTTCTTGTGGGTTTCTATCCATCATTGTCATATCTGCACTGTTCTCCAAATAAATAATTTACTTTATTTTACAGCTGAAAGTTTCTATAATTCTAAAAGCTCAGGTGTTCAAAAACTGTTCCTTTTACTCTCAGTCAGAATTGTTAGACTTGCTTTTGCTACTGTGAAAAATTATAAATTATACTATGAAAATGCAAAACAGGCAAAAAAACTGGAAAGCATAGACCATCCTGAAGATAAAAATGAAGGACAAGTGCATGGGTACTACCCATTTTTTGTTTTGATAAATTAAGAAAAAACTCTCCTGAAGACATGCTGCTTTCCAAAAGATGTTTAGTTTTATTGTACTATCTGCAAATTAATTGAACAGCTTACAAAGAAACTGACATACTTGTTTATGCATAAAAATAGAGGAGTAATTTCTTCTCTTCTGCTTGTTTTCAGTATAGTGGGTTAGTTCCACGGGAGAGCTGGGACATGTGGCATCCAACTCTGGTGGCTGAGGCCCTGTTTGCAATCGCAAACATCTTTAGCTCGCTACGCTTGATCTCATTATTCACTGCAAATTCTCACCTGGGACCTCTGCAGATATCTCTAGGAAGAATGTTGCTGGACATTTTGAAGTTTCTCTTCATATACTGCCTTGTGCTGCTAGCTTTTGCAAATGGATTGAACCAGCTGTACTTCTACTATGAGACAAATGAACCCGGCAACTGCAAAGGAATACGATGTGAAAAGCAGAATAATGCATTTTCAACGTAAGTGGCTGATCTATTTCTGTCATCCTTCTCTGTCCCTAATATTTTAATCATTTAGATGTTGTTTACAGGAAACAAGCTGTCTATTGTCTTTTGATATTAGAGTGGTGTCCTGAAAGACACATCTAAAGTTACCCTAATAAAAAAAAAATATTAACATTACATCACTCTGTAATAATGTTCATCCCATACCACATTGAAGTCAGTACAATTCAAGATATCTCAAAAGATAAAACAATAAAATAAAGAGCAAGGGAAGATAAAATGAGATTAGAAAGTGCATATTTAGAATTATGGGGAAAAAAAGTCACCAGATCAGAGCTTGCTTATTCAGGCAGCTGTCACTCTGCATTTCTTCCATATCTACTTGTGGGCATTAAATAGGTTTGGTGTACTAAAACATGGAGATTCCTTGTAAATGCGATAAACTGAGGCAGGAAAAAACATTGAGTCTGGGTTTCTACTGACCCTGAGTCTCTACTCCACACAATCAAATGCTGTATTCTAATTTCTGTTTTAAAGTTTATTTATTTATCTTTCACTTAAAAATCAATTTACTTCACTGTGTTCTGTAGTTCATCTGTAGTATCAAAACACTAGCAAATGAATACTAGCTCTTTATCTCATCTTTCAACTTCTAATCTGAATCAAACTCCTGCTATAAATACCTGTTCCCTGTTATCTTCTATGAATCATATCTAGTCTTTTTTTAAAATATATTTATTACCAATCAATTCCTTCTGAAAGTTAATAATTTTATAAAAATAACACCTTTGATACCATCTTAATCAAGTAAGTTTCCTCAGGCATGACATATTTATCTTGCATATGAATAACCTCTTATGGAGGTCTAAACTTTGTGTGATCTGAACATAAAAGCCCAGGGAAATTTTTCAGAGCTGAACATTGATGGAAGCGATATTATTCATCTGGGAAATATTGGGGACTACTGGTACGAGTGCCAGAAAATGGTGTCAAGGCAAACTGTGATGCCTTATGAGCCTTTTCTGCAACTGTGAGCAGGGGAGAATAGCAGATCTTCAATTTGCGCTCAGGCAAGTGTGAACCATGCAAGAGACTCTAGAGAGAACTTTACCACCCATATACCCTGTATTATGGGAGCAGAGATTCAGGCCGTGGCATTTCTATAACTAAAATCGTACTGCCCTCTCAGGTATCTCTGCAGGACAGCTCTCGACTGGGTTGCATGACAAAAGGTTACATTTCACAGATAGTACCACATGGTGGGAAAGGATCTGGAGGGTGAAGTTCTGCCCAGTTCTGGATAGCAGGTCCCAGTGTGCAAGGCCCCAGAGCTCAGCAGCCTCCCTGCTCTGCGTGCAGCAGGGGCAGCACTGGTGGCCCACACATCCTGTCCGGGTAACCTGCTTCTGCTGTCAGGGTGGAGGAGATGCAGAGGAGCCATGGGGAAAATGTACTCCAATTAATCTCAAGATATAGGACCAGTCAAGCAGAAATCTTTGCTACAAACTTTTCAGGAGCGAAGGGAACATTGTCCAAAAGTGAAATTATGTCAAGCTATCTAGTTGCAGAGGGTTTTTTAAAGTTGATTATTGTTATTTAGCTTCCTAGCTGTTCTCCCAAACTTCTTTAAGGGAATATAATATAATTTAGTTATAAAAGCACAAGTTTCATTTGAGAGCAGTGTGTTTATCTTTTTAATATCCACATTCTTTTCAAAACAAAACATAAGCTGGAGGTGTTCCAGAAACGTGTAGATGTGGTGCTTAGGGACATGGTTTAGTGAGTTAGGTGGTGTGGGTTGATGGTTGGACTTGATGATCCTTGAGGTCTTTTCCAACCTTAACAATTCTATGATTCTACTCTATGATTCTATGATAATAATGTCTTTCTAAGTATACAACTCCTTTTACTCATTGGCTCTCCACACAAGCCAGAAGTTGCATAAACTGACAACACCAAGTAGGTATGAGATTACCATAATTTTTTTGACATCTTGGTGAAACACAATTATTGAGTTACTTATGAATCATTATTCTGCCCTCTACAGTCAAGGGAAAGGGTCAAAATACTTCAAAGGCAGGTGTCCAAAATAAGATCTCTAAAACTATATCTAACCTTCAGAAGTTTGAACAAAATCAGCCTTTTACTCACAGGCTTATTTATAGATTCAGTATTGTGTCTCTGGAGGCTCAGATTTGAAACATTAAGCCGTTTTTTCCCTAGAAAGATACTCCATGTTTGTTGCGTATATTGTGGTAAGTATCATTCATCTCAGTCAAGTCAAGGACTTTTGTGTGTTTGGGGAAAAATCTGAAAAGTACATGTATTGTTACTATACAGCTGTTCCTTTCGGGTTTTGTTTTTCAGATTATTTGAAACACTGCAGTCATTATTCTGGTCTATATTTGGACTCATCAATCTCTATGTGACCAATGTGAAAGCAAGGCATGAATTTACTGAATTTGTTGGGGCCACCATGTTTGGTACCTACAATGTAATCTCTCTGGTTGTTCTACTCAACATGTTAATAGCCATGATGAATAATTCTTACCAACTTATTGCTGTAAGTTGTTCGTTATCCTTAGATCACTTACGATATATACCTTCTTTCTGTTCCCACATCCCATTTTTCTGGCAGTAAATTTTTTTTATTGACAGGATATTGGGACAAATTCTCTGTTCTAATTCTTTTGCACTGTTCTGGAAGGACACAGAAACCAGACCCCAGCTGGACTGTGCAGTGTGTGTTCCCCACAACCTTGAATGGGGAAGAGGTGGCCCTGCTGCATAAGCCAGCTCGTGGGATGAAATTCTTCTGTCTCTGCTTTATTTTTAATGCATTATATTTATTAACTTTAAAAGTCTGTTATTTTTTTTATTTTTATGTAGTGTGAATATAGAGTTAATAGAAATTGGATACCTATGTTTCATGGACGTTTTTGGACCCATTAGCTACTCAAACACAAGGTCATGATTTCTGATGCAGCAGTGTCCTGGTTTCTCCTTTAATGAAAACTGTCTTTATTCTTATCAGAGCTATTGGCTTACTTTTATTTCTCAGCTGTCTATTAAGGAGACTAATGAAAATAAACACTGATTCATCATATGATAATTCAAATGTGATCATGCAGAAAGCAAACAAATAAAAGCTTCGCAGTCTTAAAATTTTAAAATGTAATCTGGAAATTACAAGTCTTTCCACAAAAGAAATACTGACTGTGGGTGTTTATATAATGCTAGTTGGCAAAGTCTGGTACATGATAGCACAACATAATAGCTATTCATCAAAACTCAGACAGCAGGTGGAATATTTTTTCCTACTACAACTTCTAAATTACTGTTTTGATTACTGTATATCTGGCTAAATATTAAAGGGATAGACCTGTAGTTTAAGTTCTTGGCTACTATGTTTTTTGTACAAATCTAATATTAGCGATTTAAACTTCTTGTTCAGCTGCTAAGTTTTAGCAGTCTTTCCATGGACTTTAGTTTTGATTTTTTTTTCAAACTTCAAAATTATACAATATTATATAGAATCCAAAATAAATAAAATTTCAAATAAAAATAATTTTAAAACCCACAACCTATTCCAAATATATAATTCTGAAGTAGGAGCAAAAAGATACTCAACAGTTTTAAGTAGCCCCATGATTTGTTGGATAACATATTTGCGAATTTCTGGGGCTGGCAATTACTAAGAGACTGCATGAGACTTACAGACCTGTTGAAGCTGCTACACAACAGAGTAATTAGAGTGATCTATGTGGAATAATGATGAGCTGCTCTTATAACAAAACATCTCTTTCTGAAATATGGCATTTTTCTGCTTGTAATTATCCTTTGTTGTTTGAGAGACACTTAATTATTTAAAAGCCTGTAGCAAGGAAAGAAAGGTTGAAAGTGGGTATATACTATACATATCTAACATCTCTCTACTGAAGTAAAGCAGCTCAGCTTTGCTTTGTGTTAGAGACCTTCTGACAAAAGAAGATGCAATTATTTTAACAAGAAAATTCATCAGTATTTCAGGGCTGTTCTAGTTTAGGCCTTCAGATTTTTGTAGAGATTTGTTTCACCTCTTTAATTAAAACAACATCTGTGCTGATGTGTTTCTTGTGTGCAGGATCATGCAGACATTGAATGGAAGTTTGCTCGAACAAAACTCTGGATGAGTTACTTTGAGGAAGGAGGAACTCTACCAACTCCTTTCAATGTCATACCAAGCCCAAAGTCTCTCTGGTATCTGATCAGATGGTTATGGAGACACCTTTGCAAGAAAAAAATTAGAAGAAAACCTGAAAGTTTTGGAACAATAGGGGTAAGTCCTGTGTTTTACTCTGCCTGTAGTACTTCTCTTTATATAGATGAACCTTTCTCAGCCTTACAGAGCATCCGAACTGTGAAATAACATGCATATGAGCTAGAGAATAATTCTAGCAGATAATGTTTATTTTTTATATTCATGTCAATGTATTTGACTGAAAAGAAAGCATCATTGTATATGCTTGTGCAATGACAATACGAGGCATGACTGTGCCTCATTTGCAGGTAATGCAAGAAAGATTAAATGCATTAGAAATATGAGAGATCAGATGTGTATTCTTGTCTACCAATCCCAGGTGTCTGGTTGATGATTTCTAGCTCAAGTGCCACAGTTCAAGTATCATTGACGTATCATGAACCACAGATTCATGTATAAAGCATTTTTCATGGGATATTCTGTCTCTCTGTCTTTCTCTAAATGTAATGACATGGGTTTACCATAAAGGCATTATTTCTAACAGCTGTTCCCATTAAAGAAGACATTTTGAATGGCAACAGCTTTTACTTGGAATTGCTTGCTTGAACTTACAGGAAGAGTTATTTTGGAATCACATTTGGTACCCTCTCCTAATAGTGCTGATTAGCAGTGAAATTTCTAGGGGAAAAAAAGAAAAGACACACAAGGGGAGCAAGAATATTGCTGCACCTGGATTCAGCAGATACCTCTGTAATATCTCAGCCATAGACTTTCTCTGATATCTGCAGTGAGTAAAGCAAAATTGAATTTGTCCCTCTTAGCTTCTTCCAGTCAAGATACCTCAGTCAGCAGCACAGTTTTTCTATATTGTCAGAGGAAATATCCAGGCAACAACCTAAACCACCAACACCTAAGTCTCTCTAGTTATGTTTTCTGCATTTCCCATAGCGAGCGAATTGGTACCTCAAGAACTAGACTGCATTTAGCCAATTCCAAAATAAGGAAAACCACGGTAGGTAAAATGTGTATAATGGCACTTTTCCTATACTATAGGGATTTGGTGAATATAAATGTTTTCAAGTCTGTTAGGAACTCAGCAAAGCATTAAGTGAGAATATAAGAGTGTCACATGTAGGTAAGGGGAAGAAGAAACGGTTATAGTCCTCATGCTGTTGACCCTGGTAGGAAAACATCCATTGGTTTCAAAGAAGCAGGGGAATATTAATTCTTTGCTGCATCATTAGTCTGCCAAACTTTTCTTTGTATTTCTTCACAGTTTCTTGAGAAATGAGTAATAAGGATAGGCTTTTCTTACATATTATTCTGTCATATCCTGGCATTCAGTTTAATTGCCAAATATACTTGGAGGAACAAGTTCACAGGGGTGTACAGCTATATGATAAAGAGGAAGAGTGACACATAAAACTAATTCACAGTTCCTAAGCTGATTTTGTTGTCTTTGTGGAAAGCTTGTAGTCAGGCTTATTGCAATATCCTGATCTTGTTGGCCAGTATCTACATTGTGAAAGGAAAATATGCTTCACTTAGCTGTCATACTTGTAGATAGGAAAGAAATGGCCAGAAAAGGAAGCTTATAAGCATGAGGATGGCATTGAAACAAAGCAGTAGTAGACTGCAAGAAAGAAACACTGAAAAGAACCCCAACATTAAAATTAATATTAAAAAACAGTGAAGAGAGTTGAACAGTGATTCAGATGGAAATAAAAATAAAAGACATGAACAGAGCATGAATGGTGAAGAACTTCAAGAATAAAACATCACTCTGTAACCTATCAAGGAAAAGAAGTAAATGCAAAGACAAACTGAAGGAAAAACTGTGAGATTTTATTAGAAAGATAAAATCAAAAGGGTGATGTACTTGTGTGGGGGGGAGAGCGGGCAATGCTTTTAGGCATTTGTTAAACATTTGGTAGGGATGATTAGCTCGTGTAAACTGATAGAGTGATATTAAAATTAATGGAGGGATGCCAGTGTATAGCAGCGTTGGTTAACACAATATCACTGTTTGACTGTGACAGTTCCAGAATAGTCTTATACATCCCAGCAAAACCTTCAGGACAATATTTTCTGTCAGACTTTCCATCCAAGTTAAACATTTGGTTTTTTTTTCTTTGTTTCCCTCTCCAACTGCAGCTCTGGGAGTAAACTAATTCCTGGTTCTGTGGAATAATAAAGAGACAGGGTGCTCTCAGCCCCGTGCTGAATGGCATGGTGAGGAAGGGGGTTCAGAAAGATCATCCCCTGGTTCTTGTAGCTGCCTCCTGCTGGGGTACATAACTACCAGCTTCCAGAAATTAGCAGCTTGGGTTGCAGAAAACTGGTGCAACGCAGGGTCAAAGGGCAGGGAGTCTATACACAGGGCTGGTTGGGAATTTTTCCAAAGAGAATTTTATTTTTTTTTTAATGAAAAAAATACAAAATCCTCGAACCTCAAACTTTTTCATTAATATATACCGATTTCAAATAAATTTTTGTTGAGAAAGACCTCAGCTTCAGGATGGAATTTCTGTTTAGAAAGAGAAGGAGCAGGTGCTAAATAAAGCAAATAGCTTAGGCTATAGGAGACTCAGGTTCAATTCTATCCTCCAGTGGATATTTAATTATTTACCCCAAACAGAACAGCTCTGATAAGAGATATTTCCATCTCAAAATTGTTAAGATCCTGCAGAGGAAAGGTACTCCATTGGGACAACAGAGGAGAAGGAGCTTAACCTAGCTTCCCTATGATCTGAATGTGAACCACTGGTTACCGAACTGTTTAGGAGTGGAGAACATAGGCGAGGCAGAGATGAAGGACATTTTTGGTTAATTTCTGTAGAGCAAATTTTTTAAAAAAATGTTTGTTGAGAAAAAGTGGAAATTCCAAATTCTGTGAGACAATAGGGCCATATCCATCACTAGTTTCCACTAGATAATAGGCACTTAGCTGCAAGTATAGCTGAAAACCCTCTGAAGCAGATGGCTCACCAGACATGCCATCATGGCAGCAGGACTTCCAGCTGCCTGGAAAAAGTGAGTGGCTGTGTCTGAGAAGGCACATTCAGTCCACACATCTGGGTATCTCATGAAACTACAATTTTCTTCAGCTAGGTCCTCAGCTATAACAGAAGCCCCATTAGGGGTATCTGAATTTGGAACATTTTGCAATTTCTAGGCCCAGTTATGCCCCCAAGCTCCAAAACAGGATTAAGATGTGGGTCTGCACTATGCACTCTGATTTCCGCATTTGGAAAATCTGTACATACCCAGCAAAATGTGAGAGCCACTATTCACTCCAGCAGTCAGATCTATACAGTTTGGGTAGATGTAACCCAGATGCTGTAACTGGATTTTCCCCAAGAAGTTAAGTCATCAGAGGATGAATGGGCACACCATGGTGATCTCACAGTTTGCCCTGGGGAACGTCCTGCTTTATGGTTTTGAAAAACTTATTCCCATCACTCACAGCTCAGCCTTGGATTCCCAGAACTTCTTCAATGTCCCAACTAACTGCATCACAAATTACATTTGACACTCTGTGCTCTTACAACTGAAGAGAAATGAAGAGGAGTTTTCTCTGCCTTTTGCTTGGGGATCTCAGCTGATAGCTCTCTGTCTCCAGCTCACTGGGGTCTCCCCTGTAATAACTCTGGCCTCAGAGCTACAAGATAAGCTTTGTTGGGACCTACTTCTTTTCACTGAGTTCTACATTATGAACTCCCACAGGGATTTGTTCCTTATTACCAGTACTGGGGAAAAAACATTATGGACAGTTTCAGGCTTATTTTCTTACATTGGCTATATGGATGTATAGATGCCATGTTGTCTGTAAAGGCAGAACCCAAATTTCAGAACGTTTTGTTCTGAAACCTGTAAATGCTAACTTTCCCATTAGGAAGCTCTAATTAGTGGTGATGTCGTGTGGTGTTTTCCACTAGAAAAAGCAATAGTTTTCATCCAAAGGCTGAGTCAGTGCTAGAGGATACAGAACAGAATGCAGCTGGCTTGTTAAAGCCAGGATTTTTCAAAGATCAGGCATGATATCTGCATAGGAAACCTTAGTAACAAAAAGCCAGGAATCATGAGCTAGGGATGAATCCAGGATACATTAAAGGTGTCATCAACAATCCACTGTAAAAATATATATATATGTACACTTGAACATGTATATATACAGGTATATACTTGAACAGGTATGCACTTGTGCAGGTAGAACTCATAAAGAAAGGGCTTAGGGTCAGGATAGCTTACAGCACATACACTAATGAAAAGATTTGTCTGGCTCATATGAGAAGAAAAATGTCAGTAGAAATAAATATGACATGTTTGCTTGAGAGAACCATCTACAGTGCTGCTTATATCAAAGCTATCATGGGAAAGAATAGGGTCTGCAGGGAAGTGAGATGGCTCTGAAGAGAGATGATTAATTTACTTCTCCTTGGATGTCAGTTCTGTACTTCTGCTATCCTTTATTGTACTGGGACAGCTGAAACAGCGGGTGGTGGAGTCAAGAGGAGCTTTTTCAAGGGACAGGATTTTGCTCCAAAGCAACACGATGAACAGCCAGGCTGATGGCAGCTATTCTAGCCACAGCTACAGCTGAAGGAAGGCCAGGATGCTTACATGTGATTTACTGGTACTTCAGCTTTGCTATTACTCAGACAGAGTTCTTCTACCTTTAAGATTTCAGCACATTTTTCTTTTCTGTCATTTTGACATATCCCAGGTATGCAGCATTCTCTTTAGCTATTAAAGTATCTCCTACAGTTTAAACTCATGAATAACAGCATGTGCTGCTCTTTTTATATATATATAGCAGTTCTTTTAACTTTGTCAGCTCACCTTTGAAAAAGACAGATTAGTAATGTAACTCTATTGATTAGACTGAAGTTTTCCTGACTGACAAAGGCCTTTGGGTGTCTCAAAGATACTCCTTTTGGCCATCTGAAATTCATTGCTATTTCAAAATGGAAGAGACATAAGAAAAGAAACCCCGGTCCCACTGGAATAAATTGTACTATTTTCCTCAAATTACAGACCATTTTATATCTGATCAGTCACCAAAAAGTGTTTTACCTATAATTTTAAGTATTTCAGAGGAGAAAATGGAAAGGATTGTCAGGGATATCTTCAGTATTTTTTTATTTCACCATGTGATCTTTAGATAAACAGTTACCTCTTTTCTATCTATCCAGATTTTTATGCCATTTTTCCAAGCAACCTACATGATTATTATTGTTTGTCAAATAAACTCTCCTTTCCCCTTCTCCTAGTCTTTGTTCTCCAAGTGGAAAATGATGTAACTCCTAAGTGAATATAAGTATTTTATATTATCTCTGTAATATGTGTTACTGAAAGTTGAGCAAAGAAATAACACCCCCCACCTGGAATGGTAATCAGTAGTCGGGGGTGTTTGTTGTGTAGCCAAGGACCATTGCATGAGGAAACCTCTTTGTCAACACAGATAAGTTCTTACCCTTTTTATGGGGTGCATCTATTCAAGATGAGGAATATATCCCATGACTTCAGACAATCTTTACATTTTTTAGACCTTTATCACGAAGCAAATTTGAATTCCTGCTTTATAAAACATATCTTTTTTACAAAATAAATACTTCAAAATAAGTAATTTAACACTATCAAATTTTTGACTGCTAAAGAGATTTTTCTTCCAAACAATGCAAATTACTAGGAAAGGCATAAGCAGCAAGACCGAAAAATTTGTCACTACCAGTAGAACTACTATTAAAGCTTCCTAGAGGATATTAATGCCCCCTTTGGAAAGTGATAAAAGTGTCCTCTTCGATTTCATAATTTCATACAACACTGTCAGCAGAAGAGTGTTTCTTCCCTTGTTGCTATTTTTAGTCAGATTTAACTTTTATCCCATTGCTAGCCATGGTTTTCAACATTTCTTCATGCACATAGTACAGTGGTTACTTGAAACAACTTTTGAACAACCACTGTGAACAGGTAGAGAAAAGCAGGCTGGCTGAGAACTAAATAAGGACAATATGAGTATTAATGTAATTTTATTTATGGTGAATTGCTTGATTTTTCAGGTGTGCTTAAGCAAAGATTCATTCTGCTTTCAGAAGGAATCAAAAGTTGATTATCAACTGGGAACTGAATCTGAGCATTTAAATGGGAGATAGAGAAGTGATGGGGATAATGCCTTTGATAGGTTATGCGTATGCATTATTCCCTGTGCAGTATGTATGTGTCTGTGGATGAAAACACACCACTAAATGCATTCTCTTGCAGCTTCTCAGTGGTATGGATTGAAAACAATTGTTAAGTGCAGTAGAACTGCTCTGGATGTATTACTACACCAATGAATTTGTTTATGTAGTTATCTCAAATTGTATTTTTTGACACTGCATTGAGTGGAAAAGCCACAGCCTCTGTTTCTCGGAGTGTCAGAATCAGTTGCAAAAAAAAAATAAACCTGATTTAGCTATTTCTTATTACGCGTACAGAATTAAACCTCTGTGTTTATTTCACAATTAAAAAATAAAGCAGAGCAGACAGCAACTGCAGAAAGCAGTCTGCGAGACAAGGGTCAGCATTTGTTTTATTTACAGGAGTTATTAGCTCTACCTGAACTGAAATGAGTTTCAATTACACCTTAAAGTGTTTTTCTTTCTACCTGTGAGTCAGATCTGTTGTCGAGAGCTTTCTTAGCTTCCGACTCCCTTAGTGCTTTCTCATCAGGAATGAAACATCTCCATCGTGTGGTCATCTGCGAAAAATCAGAAAATTAAACCTGGCTAAAGACGAGTGGTGGGAGGGTATCGGCCCCAGCGGTGGGCAGGCTCGCCCTTCCCTCCCCCCTTAAACGCAAGGAATTTCCACCTTCTCTTTGGATGAAATAGGTGCACAAACACCATCTGGAAAAATATTGAAGATGCTTATTTATAAAGCCCCACCCACGGTGTGTGTTCAGAGCCATTAGGAAATAATGATGTTCCCCTTTCTGTGATTTTTTGTCAAGCCCAAGCACAGAGCTACTGCATCCCTCAAATTAATTACCAACATTAATTCAACCCTGAATTATAAACTGATTCTGAGTACAGGGAAATTGTTAATCATAAACTGACAATCAGTTTCAACTAGAAGAAGATGGCAATATACTTTACTGTCTCTGCCTCATTATGCAATTGAGGTAAATTTTTACAACTCCCCTGGATATCCTTTTATCTTGTTTTGAGATACTGCAAGTGTCCTGTTTTGTAGAAATACAATCAGTGGTCAGACACCTTTTTTTTTCCTAACTAGTAGCAAATATAAGAACCCAAGTTAAAATTTTCTTTCACCAGTCAGGGATAATGAAGGTTGAGAATAGGGAGATGTGACTCACTATGCTATTGAGGACAACAGTAATTCAAGGACTAAGTAATTCAGGCCTTTTTTTTTCCTTATCTTCTGTACAGCCCATAGATATGGCAGTATAATCTAATGGAAGACTTGCCTGAAGCCTGTACCATGCTTTCATCCTACCACATTTCTTTTTGCTTCTCATCTTCAGAGTTATTATCCATCTTATCCTCCCTCCTTATCAACACCAAACTCTGCATTGCAAGCTAAGTTTCCATACCCTCCTCTGTGACTGAGTGTTTTTTAACAGGGTAGTAAGCAGGAGATTTTCTCTTTAATATGGCTTTATAGTGCAGGTTTTGGTTAGCTCTGTCTTAGATAAGACATTAGGAGCCATAGCAAGTTTCTTCCTAACACCGTGTTCATCTCACACTTTTCTCAATTCAGTAAAATATTCATTCAGTCAGTCAGTCTGTGTGGGTGAGTGACATAATCACATATTATTCCCATCTATCTCAGATCCGTGACTTTGGGGCTCCGCAAGCAGAGACCTGGCTGCCCCATCACATCCCTGCCAATGCTGGAATAGCAGCACATTGATGAAAATATAGAAAATCCACTTTCCCTTCCCAATAACAACATTATCCCTTCTGTGAAGCTAATGACAGGCTTTGCTCCAACATTGCCATTTTTCAGCAGACTTTGAACCATTTCTCTCCGCTTGCTAGATACCACATATTGCACACACCTGCTGTTTTGCTGTGATGTAAGTATTTTACTACCCGGCAAGGATTCATATTTTTTTGTTCTTTTCTTTTCTTCAGAGGCGTGCAGCTGACAATCTGAGAAGACATCATCAATACCAGGTACAGGCCCATGTTTATTTTTTGAGCAATTATTTTTCTGTGCCTCCAAAAGATCTTCAGTGGGAAAAAAAAAAAAAAGGAAGAATTCAATGAGAAAGTAGGAAAAAAAATAAAAGAAAAAACCCACAAAATATATACTTATTTAATCCTCAGCAAATGAGCATAGTATTTTTTAGTGTTCAAACAATACCATTTGAGAAGTTGTCTACTTTTGGGGTGCAAAAGGATATTTCCTAGAGCAATAATATGCTAACCAATATTTTGGCCACTGTAACATGGATTGCCTTTAAAAAAGCAAACACATAGTCCCACCTCCCTGCTGGGATTCATCAGGATCATATGTGCAGCTCACTGACATACTCCATCAGAAACTACTCTCTATCTCTTTGGCTCTGGTCCCCCACAGACAACTTCCTATTCCTTAATGACCTCTCTGCCTAGTTCCCCTGAAAGCTGTTCCTTTTCTCCATCCTTCCTGCTTCAGCCTCTAATTTTTTGAGATTATTGTACCACAACGAATTATTTCCAGATTTATTTTCAATTTTTGTTGTGTTAAAAGGTCTGCGAGCTAACAAGATGTCGGCTGTACACTTGTAGGTTTGGTATTTAATGGATTCCATATGGGAAATGACTAGGTAAACTAGGACTTTTCCAACATGAAAAAGAGACAGCTGTGGGAGGTACAACAGGGATCTATAAAATCGTGGAGAAGGTGAGCACACAGAGCAGCTGTTTACCATCTATCCACAACCTGAATACCAGACACGTAGTAGACTGCATTAGTAAGGCTGTAGACAGCCCTTTGAGGAAGGTGATTATTCTCCTCCAGTCCACACTTGTATGACAGTATATGGATCAGTGTGTCCTGTTTTGGACCCCCCACTACAAGAGAGACGTCATCAAACTGGAAGGAATCCAGCAAAGGGCCACCGAGATAGTTAGAGGGCTGACATAAAAGGAGAAGCCTGGATTTCAGCCTGGAGTAGGTTAAGGGGGATCTAATTGCTGTGCTCAATAACACAGTGGGTGGTTAGAGAGAAGAGGGAGACAGATTTTTCTTGGAGGTACAAAGGAAAAGAACAGGAGTCAATGGACACGAGTTGCAAGAATGGGAAATTCTGTAAGGAAAATCATCATCACAGTGTAGAATTTGAAAAAGTTGCTCAGGGAGGCTGCAGCATCTTTACCCTTGGAAATATTCAGTGCTTCACTGGACATAGCCCTGAGCTGAATTGGACAGCCTCCAGGCATCCCTTCCAACCTAAATAATTTTAGGATTCTTAGAAGTAGAATGTAACAATGGAAACTATCAGAGAGCAGATTAAAAATAAGCAAAACCCCAAATAGTATCTTATTCCAGCTATACAATGGAATTAATTGGCAGAGGATTTGTGGATGCTGAAAGTTTACAGGAGTTCAAAACACATAGGAAAACCTGTCACAGCCCATTAAACCTAGAGCTATCATTTCTGATTCACAAAGGCTCTGAATCTCACATCACAGGAGGCTTCGAAGAGTATTGCTGGAAATAACATTATACAACTGCATTAGACTTACACTCCTCATGAGGTGTCAGCTCACTGTCACGTTACTGCCGTGAGACATATCTTTGGTGAAACCCAATACAGCCATTTTCAGGGTAATTAATATCATCACTTTCCATTGAAAAACAGAAAAAATGTTCAACTAGATCTAAAGTTTATACATTTTTTGTTACGTTCCTAAAGCACAAAGAAGTCCAAGCAGGCCTGGTGAGTGTAGGTTTAGTAACTAATACCAAGAAAGCTGACATGATATTTTATATTTTTAGGAAGTTATGAGAAATCTCGTTAAGAGATATGTTGCAGCAATGATAAGAGATGCCAAAACTGAGGAAGGACTGACAGAAGAAAATTTTAAGGTATGCGTTTATTTATGTGTTTATAGGTTTTTTAGTAAGATATTATAAGACTGTGAAGTACGTTTTTCACACTCCCTGGTTGTTCAAGTAGCATATAACTTGCTTCCTAGAGCAGTATCTGTGTCCCAGTGGACCACACACAGATACTATTGTACGTAGATTCCAGCAAGTCTCCTTCTTTCTTTACCTGGAGAAACAGTCAGTTTTATCAGCTAGTTTGAATTGTCCCCGTGTAAGGGGACACCAAAGTGGGACTAAGTGTATGTAACAGCATATGTAGTTGCATATGTATTATAGGACAAGGAGTAATGGCTTTAAACTGAAAAAGGGTAGATTTAGATTAGGTATAAAGAAGAAATTCTTTATTGTGAGGGTGGTGAGGCACTGGCACAGGTTGCCCAGGGAAGCTGTGGATGCCCCATCCCTGGAGGTGTTCAAGGCCAGGCTGGATGGGGCTTTGAGCAACCTGGTCTAGTAGAAGGGGTCCTGCCCATGGCCGGGGGGATGGAACTAGATGATCTTTAAGATCCTTTCCAACCCAAACCATTCTATGATTCTATATTTTCTAAAGCAAGATGCAAATGGTTTCAGCGCCTTAAAAAATAGAGATTTTCTGCTATAGAGTGGTTTTGTGGATATATTTGTATATGGAATACCTTTTATATGACTTAAAAGATGGAAAACATAAATAAGCAGCCAAATATTAAAATCTGTTGACACAGATGAAGCGAACAGGGCCATATATATCACAACACTTACATCCATCACTATTTCTAACATCAAACATTTTTCTTACTGTTGGCACCTCAAACTCCAAACATTCAAAAGTATATTCTTCTGCCTCAGCTTAGACAGGCAAAAAATACAGATAGAGCCTGAGCTAATTGGTTCATTATCTCTTTAGGAAAAATGAAAAAAAAATAGGGACCTCCTGAACACAAGGTGCCTTCTCCTGAGAAAGGCCTTTAAGAAACAGAGATTGCATTGGCAGTGAGCAGCCTGCAATGATCAGCTCTTAGTTAGCTGCCAGCTGCTAAACATCTCATGGAAATTCATGAAGTCCTGCCTGCACTGGTTCTTACAGGGAAGCATGCACACTTGTGCATGCCTTGTGTGCATGTGTGTCCCTGTGTGTGTGTAAAGGATGGTGTTAACAGCTGATTAAAATGCTGTTATAATGATGGGATAGCACTGTCTAGTAGATTGGCTGTAAGTCTTCAAGTTGTCCATGCTCCTTCCTCCATCACTGTCGGTGATTTCTATGAGTAGTCTAGGCTAAGGTGCATTTCCACTGAAGTCTCCTCTGACAAAATTGCTGACTGCTCTTCTGTCTCACCTGGAAGATCCCTTAGACAGCCTGCAAAGCAACTTGAAAATGCCAGACATTACCTAGATGGTGAAGTTTATTACTGATCCCTAGCATAAGCCTTTTTTTCTTTTTTTTTTTTTTTTTTCACTACAAGAAGAAAAGTAAAATTAACTTTCAAGGTCTGATATTTCATCTTTTTTCCTAATTTTTAGGAGTTAAAACAAGATATTTCCAGCTTTCGTTTTGAAGTCCTGGGTTTGTTAAAAGGAAGCAAACTGTCTAATTTGCAGACTCCAAAGATGAACAAAGATGCTGCCTCTCTGTCTGAAAATGAAGAAAGTGAGGGTGAAGAAAACAAGACAGGAAAGAAAAAGGCCTTCAGCCTTTTTGACATAACAACAATGATTCACCCAAGATCAGCCACTATTGCCTCTGAAGCACATAATGTAAGCAATGGCTCAGCAATGATGGTGTCAGAGTCCACTAAGGAGAAACAAAAGCGTGTGAATTTTGTAACAGACATAAAAAGTTTTGGGTTATTTCACAGACGATCAAAAACAAACTCTGTGGAACAGAGCACAAATAAAATATATACCGTTTCTGAAGAAGTTTCCCGTCAACAGGCAGAAGAACAATGTGAGAAAACTGCTGAACTGGAAGAGGGAGAACTGACCATGAACTGTGAATTAAACATCCAACGTCCTGATGAAAAATGCATGTTAGCTGAATCACAAAATAATGGTGACTCTTCAGATTCACAGGAAGAGGGAAGTAGTTGTGCTTCAGAAATGGAGAAAATGGAGTTACAGAACTCAGAACCAGATGCACTGCAGGATCAGATGGATAAGGAGTTGGACATTAGCATTGACTGTGATGGGGAACAGGAAACAATTGATCAGGGCGATTATGTGATAACAAGGTTGTGATGCTTACAGGAGGAAGGATTTACAAATATATATATTTTGCATAGTGCTTTTGGGGGGGGATGTTTTACGAATTATATTAGCAAATGCAAATTTACACTTTATAGTACTCAACTGTGGCACATGATCTTGTAAAATAGTAGTCAAGAGAAAGATAATACGGGGACCTTCTGTTTTGTAGCCTGCTTTAGCTTTGACGATTTGTTTTACATTTTTTAATAAATGGAAGCATCTTGTATTCTTGTACTGTTGCAATAACCCACAGAAACTTTTAGCTATCTTTTTCAATTACAACAAATGCAATTTCTCTCATATGATAGTTGACTCCTATGAAAAATATTTTTCTATGCAAATAAAAAGTAGCTTAAGAGACTTGTAAGCCTTTATTCAACTTTGTAGGTTCTCAGAAGATTCTGAGCACCATGATAATCATAAGCCGCTCCTGTCAGCATAATTCATGTCAAGCTTTTAGAATCATTTATTTAAATTGCTAGAAACTTGATTGTTTCAAAAGCTATACAGGATCAAAACATAAAGTATATTCTTCTATTTATTGAAGGAATATGAATACCTGTAAATTATGAAAGATCAGTCTATTTGATTATTTAATTACAGCTTCTCCCTCCCAGCAAGAGGTTTATCACAGTCCTGATACCATTGTTAGAATTGCATTTGCAGGATTTGAAGACTGTAAAAAATGTTTCTTATAGTAAAAGAAATATCTGTGGCTTGCTAAAAACTGATAACGGATTACTCCCCAGAAATCCGTAATCACAACAGCTACTGCTTCTTCAACCATTTATTTTTCCAAATGTGGACAACCTATGCACTTTAATATTCAACTGCTTATTAGCTTTTGCCTTCACAATACATTCATGTTTGCTATGAGAAAGATACTTCAGGAATAAACAGGCATACCATGTTCCCCAAGTACTTGGAAAATATGGCAATTTGTTGAGAAATTTTTAAAGGTAAGCCTTAAGACAGTTTGTTTGACAATTTCAGCTCTTGGAGAAACCCGACTGCAGGTTTTATAAAAAATACTCGGACATTTAAATGTACAAAGAAAACCTAATAGTATTTTTCATAACTAATGAGTGACTTATTGTCTTAGTCAAAACCAGTATTTTTAAAATTAAACAGTCTGTTTCTTTTTAATCAGTGACTGGTGTCCTACATTATTAAAAATGTAATTTTACAACTGGCCTAAGAATGACTACCCCCAACCTCTCAGCACCATCCTTCTCCTCCCTTGGAAACCTGTGAATGTACCACATCAGTGTGGTCATTTCATTCTTAACCTCACTAGCCCTGCCATGATAGATTTTGTACTTCATATTAATCTGTATTAAGGAACCTCCAGATGCATAGAGTACACTTGTATTTTGGATGGTATCCATTACATGTAACTCCCACCTTGTAGGACCTGACCTAAAGCCATACCATTCTGGATCCAAACTATCCTGGTACTGGACTGAGTTTTGAAAATCCAGACAAACCCATCTCATCTCCACACTTCTAGGTGAGTTTTCCAGCTGTACTTTACACATGTGCTACTCAGCTTCCTTCCTTCACATCTATCTGTGCCATGGCACCTAGGAGTGAATTAGTTGAACCAAAATGGAAAATATGAGCAGTAATTGGAAAATAGTTTGTATAGCTTTGCAACAATGCATTCAAACCACATGTGATTGCTAAGACATAGTTGATTTCCATCTTGACCTCTCAACTTCTCTGTGGACTCCCTCCCCTTCACGTCTCTCTCCTTGTCCACCTTTAGATTGTGAGCTCCTCGGGGCAGGGCCTGTAGCTTTTCTGTTTCAAAAGCACCTGAGTTATTACAAGAGTAACAAGAAATAAATAATAATAATAATAATGTTGGAATACCTTCATATCATTTTTACTAGGTCAAGTCTTTTAGAGAGTTCTCTTTTCTACTGTAACATTTGTGCTAAGAATTATATAAAGCCAATGTGGTACATGTTGACACAAAGTTCTCTATCTCCCAGTTAACAGTCCTTCTTCACTACTGATTTCACTTCCTCATTCTTCATCATGGTTTCTAACACCTTGGAGTCCTAAGCTTACTACCCTTTCAGTAGCCAAATTCAAACCAAACAGTCCTTGCTCCAAAGAGCTTTCAAGGCATTCCAGCCACGTGTTTTCATTCCAGACAAAATGTGCCTGCGCAGGGTATTTATAATGCCCACAGCACTATTATCAGAACAAGTTAACCGCCACAGGTCTAAGAGCTCTGCATGTTATTCTGCCATCATAAGACCCTGTTCCTCCTGTACACGAAGTTCCCAACAGAGAAAAAAACACAGGATAGTCAACCTGAAACATCAACCATGCTGTCACATCATGACCCCGCTGTACTGGGAGTCAGTCTAAGTCTTGGAGTAGACAGAACACAGAACAGCAAAAACAACGCAGGTGGGCAAGATACTTAGGCACAGGCCATGACATGGTATTGCATAGCAATAGGTGGTCAGTCTTTTGCTGTCTTATTTCTTTTTTTTACAACCAAATATTGAAATGAAGGTACATTAAATAAAGCATACTTCAAATTAATATTTGCTCCATTTTTATGTGATTCTTAGGCATTAATGCCTGACACCAATAGGGACCTGACCCCATTCCATTTAAATTTAATGGCAAACAAGCACCTCATTCTGTGAAAAGAGATAAGAGCTCAAACTATGTCCAAATTTGAAATTATGATGGGCTTTTATTTCCTTGCAGACAGCCAAAAAAAACCCCATTCGCATTGGATGCCTGCAAGAGGACATCTGTGCCAAGAAAGATTTAGAGGTTCCTTATCTGAGGTTTTTCTGTGAATAAGTAGTGTCTATTTCCAGGAGAATATGTATTTTCGTAATAGCTATAACTGTTGAGAGCTGTAAAAGGGGAGGAAATTCTGGTATTTGGGCACCCAAAAGTTCTTCAATGGAATATTTGAAACAAGAATGTCTTCCTTAACAGCATCCTTGAACTGAACTTTCAGGAGGTGAATTTTTGTGTAGCACCCTCACAGGAGTAAAGCATAGACAGAAGACACAAAGAAATGATCATATGCCCATCTCAAATTCTACTATATATGCATTGCAGTCTATAACATCCCATTTCCTCTCCAAACCTCAGGTGAATATTTAATCAGGTTCTGGGAAGTAGCATGAAAGAGAAAAGAAGCCGATCATGCTTAAAGATTGTGATGAAGCAATGAACTTCTGAATAAAGTTCAAAATATTTCATATCATGTTTTCTTATGGGAATATAGAGGTATAAGTTGGACAACAACATAGTCCATCTTAATTTTGAAATCTCTTAAGAGATACTGACAGCTTTAGTGGGTGGGGCAACCTCACAAAAATAATAGTACTGGTCATGGTAATGGTAGTGGTAGTGATTGCAGTAGTAGTACTAGTAGCAGTACTAGTAATAGCAGTAGTGAATGTAAGTGTAATGGTAACAATCCTGTGCATTTACCCCTGGTAAGTGGAACTCCTCAGTTCTAATCCCTGCTCTAAAGTTTGCCTATTTTCCATGTTGAACAATCATTTGATAACACCATTAAGCTGTCCTTGTGGACAGCTGTCCTCCAACATAAGTTTTTGACTAAAAATCTTACTTCTCTGTGTTTCAACTCTTTGACTAGCTGAAGGTTTAGTTATGGACTCTACATTCACTGCAGCAGGAGCAGATTAGAGATCCTCTGAGACAGTTTATCGTTAAGTAGTTGGACGTAATCCAGAATAAATTGCTGCAGTTAAGCATGAGCTTGAACCCTCCAGGTATGAAACCACTCATTTAGTACTTGAGAAGTTGCCTTATTTGTGTAAGTGTAAAAGAACGGAGCAGAGATGGCTTCTCATTAACATTAAAACAAGTAAAAAAAAGTTGCAGCTTTCAACCTTGATGAACCTAGAACTGTAAGAGACCTGAGTCATAAAATATACTTCAGTTTTATTACAGATCCCTCCACCACATAATTCTCTTCCTAAATCAATCAAATCCTATGCTGTTGTTAAATACAGTTATGAAATGTTTATACACATGAATAATTCCAACTGTTTGTACTTGTACCCTTTGGGCAGTCACTTTCTTTATAACTTTTCTCTAATATTTGTTCTTCTGGCTGTACTCTTCCCCCTTCAGCCTTGGGCTTCTTTGGGTGTAGTTTAAACCAACTATGCTATTTTCATTTTAACTAAAACTTCCTGCTCTCTTTAGTTGACTGTCATAGTTACAGTCAAGTGCTGTGCAGAATGCAGTGTCGCAGTGTTCAATACTGCTGTGGTCTTTTCAGTCTGGCCTTTAGCTCTTTGTGATCCAATATCCTTCCACTGTGGAATGAAATTGGTACATTCAGAGGCCAATGCATTTTTCTGTTTCAAACACTGTCCTTAGCATCAGATTAATTGTCTTTGACAGAGATCCTTGTCTCCTTTGTACAATTTAGAGGGAGTTCAGATAGCTATGAATAGAAACTTAGCTTTCCAATACTTGACAGATGAAATTAATACCAGTCCCACATGATACTTCTTCAGTATATTTTCTCTCACCTTTTTTTTTTGACAATGCAACTGATGATGAGTTTGTTAATAATACAGTCTCTTTAAGGTAATAAAGTCACTACAGCATTTTAACAGTATCAGAGCTGTGCTTGCAATATGGACAGAGGGAGTGTTCAAGATGTAAAACTGGAGCTTCCAGAAAGACTGAACATCTAAAGAGGCTAATGCTTTATAATTACTATTTGCTACTTACTAATAACCATTACGAATGCTCTCTAGTCTGGAAATTAGTAATAGAACCTCACACAAGCAGAACTCATGGGAAGCTCTTCCGCTGCATGAAATGCAGAGTTAATTTGTACGAGCTTGCATACTTTTTATTCAATGGAAGTGTAAAAGCAAGAATAGCCCCATCTATATTTGTTTCATATGCTCAACTTCTAAAAAAACCAAAGGCATTCACAATAAAACTGTTCCATGAATGTTTAAACAAGCAATATAAGTCCGTGGTTAGTAAGGAAGATAAAATAACCTGCTAGAAATCCTTGTGTTTCAATTCAGCAGGTTAGTGAAAATATTTGTTTCTTCTGTAATAGAAAACCTTTACAGACTGAAATATGGTATCCTAAATCTCCAGTCATCATTAAAAATAAACAAACAAA